TAGTAGTAACAAGAAGCTACTAGGAACAAGTGCATCGCTACTAGTAACAAGTGCCTTACTAGTAGTAACAAGAGGCTACAAGGAACAAGCGCATCGCTACTAGTAACAATGTTCGCTACTAGGAACATGCGTCTCTGAAGTTTGAAGTTTGCACTTCTCAAGTTAAACAATCATGTTGATTCAGAGGTCGTTCGTTGGAGAGGAACCGTCCGTATCGTCGTTACCGAAGTCGACTTTTCGGATCAGACTTCTCGGCGGATTTAACAAGTCTGATCCGAAAACCGTTCTCACAAGTGGGTTTTTTCACGAACCTACGGGTCCTACGGGTTGGTCGGGAGTCTACGGGTTGGTCGGGGGTTAAGCTTTTTCAAGAAGTTAAGGTCCAACCCAGTTTTCATAGCATCATTTATAAAACACCTGATCTTCAAATGGTTTCAAATCCTAAAGTATTTCTAAAATATCTTAACATGTGAACATATATCCGTTCCACTGTCTACCCCTCCGAATCGGCCCACTGGGCAACCTGTTCCATTGTATTTGGGAATATTCCCACTTCCCAAGTGAAATTCTCATTGTACCTGGTAGTAAAGATTTGATGGCTATTGAACTGGCCAATTGGAGAGCGCAAACACCTAGAATGATTTCAGAACAGCAAGCACACTGCTATTTGCAGCCTCCAAAGCCTAAACATTTTGACTTCAGCTTAAATATTTTGATTCCAGCTTAATTCGTCGGAGTTCGTCGGAGGGCAGCTTTGGGCTGTTTGCAGCCAATTTCTTTGGGAAAACACAGAGGCGCAAGTGCAATTTTCATTAGAAAATACACCAAACTTGCTTGTTCAGAGCTATTTTCAGGTGTTTTTGGCCACACCAACAGCCAATTATCCCGAGCAAAAACTTGAAAAACAATAAATTTAAGAGTTTTAAGGCCAAGTTCGACGGAGTTCGTCGGAACTCCACTTTAAGCCCGAGTTAGATAGGACTCAGACTCCCCTGATTTAGATATATTTGATAGGTAGTAGGAATCCAGTGAAGTTTGCATGGAAGTCGAAAGTCTATCTTGAGAGTATTGTAGTGAGTCCCTCCGTCCAGAGCAAACATATGCCACGTTTGACTCACCTGGATGGATCCTTTCCTGTAGGATGCCCGCAAATTGTTAAGTTTCCTGTAATCCCAAACGGAAATTGATGTCCACAAAAGCACTATTTCCGTCACGCAAATGTGGTCCACTGCTTAACTTTCTGAAAACCCTTAAGTTCCGACGAACCATGGGTTCGTGAAAAAGGCCACTCACAAGGTGAGCAGTTTCCACACAGGAAGACAAGTGGCCTCTGCTCCCAATAGCTCAAGGTTAAGGAAACAAAGTGAGAGCTGGATTCTGGAAGGGTACTCGTGGTCACATGAGACGCTTTCCTTTCCATGCTCAACTGTTTAGACCTTGGCTGGCAAGACTTGTACAGTTTGTCAAAGCTGATGAATGAATTTTTGCCCAGGTGAATCATCCACTGGTGCACCACCTGTCAAGGTAGCTGATCATGAAGGTTTACTTTAGGAGAGCTGCTAGAAATGAGTCTATCTCCAACGCACTATCTGTCAAGATAAACGATTAAGTAGTTTCATTGCGCAAGTATATGTGCATAAGTTTGTCCGCGTGCAGCTACTTTGCCGGTTTCTCTCCCTGAGTTTCCTTTGTGTTTAAAGACCTGTAGATTGCGGCCAAGACTACTTCGCCAAACAACTTTTCGCGAGACACTGTTCCCTTGCGTTCTGCAAGGCAATTAGTTCGACGCAGTGTACGCGCGGTGCGGATTTAAGCAAACTTTTCTGTGATTGTGGTCGTCTATTCCTTTATAGGTCCTTGTGTGAGCCGCATACGCCAAGGAAAAATTTTTTTCTGACGAATTCCAAACTAAGACGTCTTTATAGCTGGTGTGTGACTGTCTATCGTATCAAGGCTCAAAAAGTGGTGCTAGCTCCGCCTTCGGCGTACGCGGTTCTTTCACTCCCGCGCCCCCAGCCTGAACCCTTCCCAAGCATAGTTTCCTACTTTGCAACTCAACCTACGCTACTTAAGCTCACTTCAAAAGCCTTTTCTGTTCTTTTCTCGTTTCTTTCCTCCTTTTTCTTTCTCCTTCGCTCAACTCAACTTCTCCCACCTCAGACGCTTTCCGGTACAACTCAGCAGCCTCGAGACCCTGGAGAGATTCGCTTCAAAATCTCCACAGTTTCAGCCACGATTTTCCATTTCAGCGCTTTGCCACCAGCCGGTGACACAAAGGCAGACAAACACCCAGGCCAATAAGAAGAAGAGACACAAAACGAACGAGACAAACGAACAGCCCAAAACGGTGTGAGTCCACAACAATCCAAGCGCCGCAAAGCCCTGCAGTGGAAGAGGATCCACCGAATCATTTGGCAAAAACAGTCTTGTCAAACAAAAGACTGCGAGGTCGTAAAAACAAACAAGTCTCTTCATCATCTCTGATGGATCTAGAATCTAGAGGTCACTTACCAACCCGGCCAGAACCACTCCTTGCCCGCACCACAGAGAACATGCCAACAGTTGGACAGCCGTCGACGTGTTCAAAGAACATTCCGAACCCGTCGACGGTGTCAGAGAGAACTCGGAAAAATGTAAAGAATCTTTGGCGAAAAATGAACCAACATGGAGACGCGCTAAGAGAAGACATGCGCAGAATCGTTTTTTCACCAAACAGTTTAGTGTTAGGGGTTCTCAACTCTTTTCTTTTGTCGCCCGGGTCTGTCACTGCTGGTGTCCACTCTTTTCCGTTGGCCATGTAGCATTTTCCCCAAATCAAAGTTGAACCCTTCTCCAGGTCACCCTTGTTTACAAGAAAACTAAAATTGCATTGAATCACATTTGAATCATCTTTATTCTTATTTGAAGCTTATAAAATCTTATTTGTTCACTTTAAAAGTGCAAAAAATATTTTAAACCTGTTGATGCATGGCCCCTGAGCAAGGATGACACGCTTTTTTGAGGTGCTGTGAACGCCGCAGCCCTTTTCCATGAGGTGTGATCACCTCATCAAGACCTCATTCGGTCACGACGAGACCGAAGGTCACCAGAAGAAAGGAAGCGTTTGTAGCGTTGAAGGTTCGGTTGTTTTGCAGCTTGTTGAACCCAAGGGAACACGATCATGTCCCAACACCAACAGGTTATGAGCCCAACGCCAGAACTTTCTTCTTTACCTCACCCTTCCATGCTCCGACGGCGACGAACCATGGAGCACGATGATGGTTGCCTGGCCTTGCCACCGCCTGCTGAAGAACCTCGAAGCGAAGAGCTGGTGGTGAAGCAAGAAGCTGCGGCTTTGGATGGTGATGAAAAGAAAGAAGAAGAAAAGAAAGAATTTAGCACCCCGGCTCGTTCGACGACAGGGCTGGGAAACACAGGAACAGGGAAGACTGAAATGGAGGTGTTTAAGAGTGGTGGATCAAAAGAAAGTGTGGTTGAAGCTCCAAGGGGAAAGCCCGCCGCATTGGCTCCCTTGATACCACCAGCACCGCAGGTCACGCAGCCCTTGTTCACCCAGGAGCAGATTTGAGAAGCTAAGGCATCTGCTCGACGTGCGCCTCAACTCTTCGCCCCAGACTCATGCCCTCTTCATCTGGTGATGATCGACCTGCTCAGGTGTCTCGCCCGGCCCGCCCGGCCTTCCTGGAAGAAGAAGAAGAAAGAAGGGAAGGAAAGAAAGGGGGTAAGAAAGAAGGGTATAGAAGCGAAGGATTCGCCAAGAACAAGAACGAGAAGAAAAAGAGGAAGACATCATGTGGTGCTGGCAGATCTCCCAGGACATGCAACGTCTCACTGATCTTTGCCACGCCCAACAACGTGAGAACGATCGCCTTCAACAAGAACTCTATGAATGGAGAATTGAAGATGAAGATAGAAAAAGGTTGGAGGCTGAAGCAAAAAGGAAAAAAGATAAGGAAGAGGTTGAAAGGCCAAGAAGCGCTTCCGGTGGACCAAATGGGGTTCCGGGAGTTGATGACCTACAAGCCAGAGGACGCACACCCTGGTCAACTTACCCTGCTCGCTATGAGGGGCTCCCGATCCCGCTCCAAGGAACAACAACGGAAGGGTCGAAGTCCTTCGTATGGGAAGGGAGAAATGAAGGGTCCCAGATGGAGGTGATGACACTTTTGGTCGAAAGCGTGAAGTCCCTTCAATGACAGATTTCGGACGGACAAGAAGCTCAAGGAACCCGTCAGGTCGCTGAACTTCCAGCTCTACATCCTCTACATGGTTCCACATCTCAGCTGCAGCTTGGTGATTGGCTGCTCCTGGTTCAGCCTGTGGTGGCTGACCTGACTACCACCTCTGACATATGGTGGGATCGTATGATGACTGAAGTGGAGAAGTGGTACCAAGATCACCAAGCGATGGCCCCTGTGGATCAGGTCAAACACGAACCTGTGCCTCCAACATCACTCAGTGTTCCGAAGTGGGCGAAGCTGGAACGGCGAATGGCCACCCTGTTGCTGAAGGCAATTCCAGAAGTTCAGAACGATGAACTGGTGGTTACCAAAAGGTTGTCAGTCTTCGCCATCCTCGCCCATCTCCATGTCACCTACTGCCCGGGTGGCATCAGTGAAAAACAGATGCTCCTGCGCAACCTTGAAGATCCAACAGAGCCAGGAAATCTACGCGATACTGTTGTTGGCCTTCGTCGAGGGCTTCGCTGGCGTGCAAGGGCTCAAGAAGAACCCGACCCGTCCATCCTGGTCAAGGGCCTGAATCGCTTGACAAAGCGAGTCTTGGATGGCAATGAAAGCCTCTACGTTTCCGGGCGTCGCTTGCTCGGAATGCTCTTCAGGTTGACACCCACCCCAATGCCCTCTCTGTCAGCCAGTTTGCCACTCATCTCATTGCTGAGATCGAACAGCTCTCCCTGGCTGAGAAGCGAAGTGGGGGAACTACGAAGAAGGCAAAAAGTAAGGTGAAAAGGATTGAGGAAGTCACCAAAAGGACCAAAGGAAGTGAAGGTAAGTTGAAGGAGATGGAAGTGAAGGCACCGTGCAAGTTCTTCCTCAGCGAGGCCGGATGTCGTCGTGGACGCGACTGCAAGTGGTCGCATGATCAAAAGGATGAACACAAAAGGTGCTATCTATGTGGCTCCGCAAAGCATCTGGCTCCTACCTGTCCCACGAAGGAAGCATCAGGTGGAACCGCTCCGAACTCGCCACCGAAGGTTAAGAAAGAAAAAGAAGAAGAGAAGGATCCACAAGGCGAGGAAGGAGGAAAAGGAGGTGGAGTTCAGGATAATGAAAAGATGGATGAGCTTCTCACTGAAGCCAACCGGATGCTCAAGGCGATGAAGGATAAGGAGGCCTCTGAGGCCAAGCTGAGCCGTCTGCATCAGCAGCTTATGAGATCAAGAAAAGCATCAAGACTTTGAGTTCGAGAAGCGAGGATTGGGTCTCCACAAGATGAAGAATGGGGGCTTTTGGATTCAGGCGCGACCCATCCCTTGAGGCCTCTTGCCTCCACGGACAGCGAAGTCTCAGTGTCCCTTGCTGATGGTCGCACTACGCCTCTCTTGATGACAGAGTCGGGGGCGATGGTCTCGACGAACTTAGAGGTGGACCCCATAGTACCCCTGGGAATGTTGGCTGTTGGAGGATGCAAAATTTCATGGAAAAAGCATGGCGTGAAAGTCTCCCGTCCTACGAAGGGGTCTTTGCCTATCAGCATTCAGGCAGGATGTCCACAGAATCCCAAGCAGCTTGCCCTCGAGCTCATCAAGGAGTATGAAGAGCGCACCCAAGAAGTCAAACAGGCTCGCCTGGTTGGTGAAACGCAGCCCCAGGTAGAAGGCCATCCTGCCCTCGCTGAACTTCCTGTGTACATGTGCAGGAGGCTTTGGTTCAACAATCGGGGAGTGGAAGGACCTTCCTGCCAATCGGCATCAACGAAAACGGTCGAAAGCAGCTGGGTCAGTTGCGCTACATCTTTATGCGGGGAAACGTGAAGGTTTTACCCTGCAAAAGGCTATGGAAGAACATGGCTTGGGAAGCCGCACCTTGGAGGTAGACCTACAACGGGGTGAAGATCATGATATGGCATCCCTGGATTCGAAGGCCTACAAGGGTTTGCTTCGTCTGGCGCTTGACGGGGATTTGGCGGCGGTGATTGGAGGGCCCAATTAATTGCCGTACTCGATCTGTGTTACGGCATTACCCTGGAGGTCCCCGACCGGTGAGACCTTGGGAAGAACCCTGGGGCATCAGTTCCTACAGCCCTGCAGAGGTGGCGATGCGTCAGGAGGATGATGTTTTGATGCGGCGCCAGATCTTCATCTTCCTGGTTGCGGATATGGCTGTTAAGCTGAAGGATTCGATGAAGGAAGGTGAAGAAAAGAAGAAAAAGGATGAAGTGATGATGTTCCTGCTCGAACAACCATCCGACCCCAAGGACTACATGCCCTCTTGTGTCTCCTTTTGGAGCACCGAGCAATGGAAGAATCTTCAGGGCGCAGCTCATCTACAAGTGCGCAACCTGAATCAAGGAGACTATGAACCTTGGAAGGAGGATGCTCCGGTGAAGCCTACAACATTGGCAGCCAACCTCGAGCTCCGCTTACCAAAAGGAAGGAATCCTGGATCAGAAGGTCGAAATGAAGGTCAAAAAGTTCCATCATGTCGTTCTATTGCGGAAGCCTGTGCTCTTCACATCAATGGAAGTGTGGAGGAGGATATGAAGTTGAAAAAGATGACATGGGAGCAGCACTGTCAAAATGGACACGCGCCGTTCAGAAGGGACTGTCGCGCGCGCCAAGAACAAAGTGCTAAGTCTCGACCTCATCGAAGGGTCACCCACCCTCTCGCGGCGACTTTGTCATTGGATACTGCCGGTCCATATCCTGTCGCTCAAGATGGAAAGGACATGGCAAAATACATCCTTGTTGGCACGTATACCTGGCTTCTTCCTCAGGAACAACATCCACCTGTGCCGGACGATGAGCTGGCCGACTCTGATGAAGTGTTCCTTGCAGAAGAGGAGGATGAGGAAGAAAAGGAAGGAAATGAAGAAGAAGAAGGTGCGAATGGAAGAAGTGGAACAGGGAGAAAATGTAGAGGAAGGGGAAGTGGGTGAAGAAAAAGGAAACCCCGATTTGATCACCTTTCGACTCGCCATCCATGTCCTCAAAGGATCAAAAGACGGTACTGT